ACTTTTGAATGATGCTTCTTTCCTTTCTTTCACTCTAAAATTGTAAAAAAACAAAATGGTCTTGTTTAAAATGTTGAAAATAATGTTTTGTATTTAACGTTAAGCCTTTTGGACGTCAGTTCATTTTCCACCCTTTTAACTATTCACAGTTACAGACATTTTGACTGGGGTGCTCAAACTTTTGCACGCCACTAGACAGTCATAGGCAAAAGTCTGAACACCCCTAGTCAAATGACAGATTTGTAAAAGAAGACATTTTGGTAACACTTTCTATGAATGTTACCTTTGTAAGCATCTATAAACACATTTATAACATGTTATAATGTATTCCTAAGGCATTATAAACATGGTTATAAATATTTATAAAAAGGAATTACACTGAATTACACTTTATAGCCATGTTTATTATACACGAATTGTTAATATAATGCATTATACATAGTGTTAATAACATGTTATAAAGTCAGTGCCAGAAGTCAGTCTCAGCTTGGAGAGTGTAAAGTAAAGACAAATACCAAGCTAACGGTGGTGTACATTACCTTTCCCACATTGGGTAAAACACTGATGGCAGCTCTAGTTTAAACTCTGACATTTGAAGCCTGTAATGTGCTTTACTGTGTATGTTTTAGTGTTTCAGTAAATACTTCAACTTGAAGCCTCACTCTTAACGCTGGAGGAGGCTTTAGTACAGTACGCTTCACTTTACTTAGAGCGGACAAATACAACTTATGAGCTCTTATAATTTGTTATGATCAGTACTTATAATGTATTATGTTAACAATTCATAATGCATAATAAACATGGCTATAATGTGTAATGCATTTGTATAAATATTTATAGTTATGTTTATAATGTCTTATGAATGCATTATAACATGTTATGAATGTGTTTATAGATACTTACGAAGGTGACATTCATAGAAAGTGTTACCGACATTTTCCCAGGCCATTTTCCCCAGTATGTTAAATTCAGCAAACAAACAGTGATTGTGCTCTAAAATGTGCTCAAAATGTGTTCCCTGTAGAGGAAGTTCAAACTTATTTTCATGTAGAAAATCAACAAAACATTTCATTTGACCAGGGTGCCCCACGGTGCTTGTTTAAATATGCACACCGAAAGATGTGCAGCAATTGTTGCCCCACATTAACATTATAAGAATTGATGCTTTGTGCTGGTAAATGTAGATGTTACAGTCCAGTCAGGTTCACATCCTTCAGATCCGTGGTTAAGGCCCCAGGATGGCCTTGACTTGGCTGGAGTCAAGACTAGTGTGATGGGTTTAGATACCCTTTTATAACACAACCTGCAGACGTACTTTAGTCAAATAGCAGACATACAGGCAGTATAACACTATTACAGTCCGACTGGACTTTTGACTCAAGCTGATGAGTAGTAAACTATAGTAAACTGAGACGCTGGTGCTGTCGTCCCGCCGCTCACACTCAGGTTTGTGGACGGTGGAGCGGAGGGATGCCAAATTGTCTCAGGGTGCTCCCGTGTCTGTGTGCCCTTTTGGTTCTCTCCTTTTAGTTAAGCTGTTATAGTCAGATCTGCCGGACTCGTTAGACACACTCTGGAAATGATTTACTTATTATTATACAAACACCCATACAGAACAAAACTAACTCCATCTCCCTACCTTTTTTCTGAGTAAACAACTGCCCACCTGTCTGGCCGGACACTGATGGACGATTGTCTGTCAAGCTCTCCTCCTACCCGCTTCAGACCAGTTGCCCATGCCCCAGTCACCGCCACCTGCCTTGGACTAGCTGCCCACCCGACACTGAAGTGGACTCCTAACTATTACTACTACTACTACTATTAATATTAGTAGTATAATAATTTTGTAGGTAGTTTGACCAGAGGAGGATGGGTCCCCCCTTGTGAGCCTTGGTTCCTCCCAAGGTTTCTTCCTCAGCTCTGAGGGAGTTTTTCCTGGCCACTGTCGCCCCTGGCTTGCTCACCTGGAGGATTTACATTTCATGTTAAAACTTTGTCCTTAATGGATTTCTGTGAAGCTGCTTTGTGACATCAGTTGTAAAAAGCGCTATACAAATAAATTTTACTTGACTTGACTTATATCTTATGATATAAGATATTATATAAATGTACAAACAGCATCACTTTTGATGAATTCTGTTATCTTTAGACGCTCAGAGCTCAGCAGATGCATTGTTAACATGGAGTTAACTGACTCTCAGGTAATTTACTGCCATATTTAAGCTTTTTGATCCCTCTCTAAGAACATGCAGGCAATTAGCGCTGCTTCCCAGAAGCCGGCAACACGGATGAGATTATTTCCTTTGTCGAGGGCTTTCATCTCAGATATTCTTTTTTTCTCTTCTTTTAAATAAATCATAAGGCAACCCTTATGGAAACCTGATATCTGACTACTTTTAGATTTCAAATATATGACACACAGTGGCATATGTGGATTTCCTTTATATCCAATATTTATCACAAATGGACATATATGTGACATATATGCAAACATACTTAAAATTGGCTGCTTTCAAATATGAGAAATATATTTTAGCCCTGTATAAACAAATATATATGTGCAACACATTTAACAATACATGGAAGAAGACATTATATATGCCTGGCCTATATTACTAGCTTCACATTATATAAGGTGTTTATGCATCTTTGTTCCCTCCACATACTTACAAACAAAGTGAAAATGTATATGATAGCTGCATAACTAAACTCTCAAAACATGCACATTGTAAGCTATGAAATAAATTCATTAAAATGTGACACATTGAATTAATTTAAAAGCCAACAGAAATCGCAGCAAGAGTTGCAGGTGTGCAGGGTTGTATGACGAATATGTATGATCCATATATTATGCATAAATATCCAATATTTAATACTGACACATGTACACAACATACGTGTACATATATTGTACAATATACCACTTTATGATAAATGTGCTTATATGGCTATATATCAGATATACATATGGCAAAGTTAAATCAGCTCTTCTGTGCATTATTGCATGTATTTTTACTGTAATTATACAGAGCTTCAGCAGGCAGGGGGCAGTTATAATGGTTTTGCACTGCCACCTAGTGTCCCAAGACTGCAATTACTACTCTAATAGTACAAAAAGAATGGGACTACTTAAAATATCGTTTCAACACCTGACAAAAGATAACGATTATAAAGATCACATAGAGACTGATTTATTGTTTATTATTTATTTATGGTCATTTTTGTGAAGGTGTCTTCTCCAATAAAGTAAAAACGTCATTCACTACAAACTGCATATAAGATTTTTTTCGGATTTCAAAACTTTGTGATCTTTAACCTCTGTAAACGTTAATGCTAATTAGAGGGTAATTGGACGGCTCATTATTCTAGACATCATAATATGATTGTGATTGGTAACTGTTGGCATTCCGTAAATCTGGAATAAGATCTAGATAAATCAAACGGGCATTCCAACCTAAAATTAGCATTCAATATGTTATTTGTTACGTTAGGTAATGTTATGCAGCGCATCTCTCAGCGTGATCTGTTTGACAACATTTAAGATTTTGCATCTTTTTTGTGTTTTTTTGTCCATCGGCGTTCTTTCACTACATTACCCAGAATGCACTACGCAAATACGCCATACAGCCGTTGAGAATCCTCCCACTGCGATAAAGGAAATTTGTAGTTTTTTTCAAAAGTTCTCTCCACATTATCAGAAGGAAGTTTCGTAGATTTTATACTGGAAAATGTGACTCTATGATCACTGCAGCACCACTGCACGATATGAGGAGTCATGTTTACAACAGATGTAGTTCAGTTTTTCAGCGTCCTTTTAAGGTTCTCAAATCCAGCTTGACTGCGTGCTCTTCCATATTTCAGCCACACGATGGCAGCAAATTCACACAGAATATGCGCGCCTGAGCCAAGTCACATCCGAAAATGGGTCGTGATTCTTTAAAAAACTTCTGAAATTAAACACAGTATCTGTTCATAACCAGAACATAACCATGTATGCGCGTTGTATAATCATTTTACATTTTATTAATATTATTAATACATTTTATTACTAATGATCCAATAAATATCACCTAATCCAAGCCAAACATAGAAGGAACTAAGAAATTGGTAGAAAAGCTAGAACTACTCTAGTTGTGCACTTCATACTGTGTCTTTTTTTTGCACCCGTTTTCCGACAGACCACTCCTCCTTACGACTGGACCATACTAGCCCATCCCAGTGCAGGAGGCTGGACCCTGTCAACCAATCCCAGTGCAGGACAGTGGCTATGCAAGAGCCTAGACAATACCAGCCTATCTCAGTGCAGGAGGTGGGACCCTCTCAACCAATCCCAGTGCAGAAAGCTGGACCCTATTAAGCAATTTCAGCGCAGGAGGCTGGACCCGAATAACCAATCCCAGCGCAGGAGTGTGACAGTACCAGCCCATCTCAGTTGACGAAGCTGGCCCAGCGCAGGAGGGCGGGGTCTGACCGAAAACGGGTGGGAAAATCTCGCGGCTGCTCCACCAGCCCGCCGGTCCCTTTAAGCGCATTGGCACGAGCCTTCTGCATTTCTTTGAAAATACGGATTACAGCGCGTGCCGGCTTGGGGGCTAAAACGGGGCGGCCAGGTGCGCTGAATGGTAATGGTGAATGTATATATATGTACATTCACCATGTATATATATACATGGTGAATGTATAGTCACGGTGAATGTATATTCACCGGGCCGTGCGTTGGCACGATGGAAAGAGCTGGAGCAATGTCGAGACACCAGGCTGGAGCTACTCCGTCCACTAAAGCTACCGACCACCAGTCAGCGTACGTGCCCAGCAGGGCTGTTTCTGCAGCGTCTGTCATCGAGCATCCTCGTGGTCAGTGCACAGCCGCGGCTTAGGCAAAGGGGGTGGTGATAGAAGCCGCCCCGCGCAGGAGGGGGCAGTGCACTGATGCCCAACCTGCCCTCGGCTCGCGTTGCCAAACCCACTGATGTGAGATATCGCAGTCACAGCCCCTGCACGCGCCTATATAAAGGCTGGCACTTGTTAGGAAAGCGCTGGCAGTGGACTGTGGACTGGTCATCAGCATCCAGGCTGTGGTGAAGGCTCTGAAAGAGAAAACAAGAACTACGCAAAGCAGCTATGGCTCACGCTTGGGGTTACGCAGAACATGATGGTGAGACTGTCCTGCTGCAGCTCATTCAGACCAGATTAGTCTTAAAGCAGCTGGATTTCTGCGTGTGTTTATTAAAAGACTGTTTACAGTGCAGTTATTTTTCATCTCTGACTGCAGGTTTTCAGGATACTTAGCTACTGCATAGAGCTTTGTGATCATGTTTGCAGAACTTAGGCGGACAGCAGCACCTGAAAATGTACTTTTTTGAAGTTTTAAGCGTAGAATAACTGCATTGTCCTCAGCACTGAGAACAAATATGAAAATTCCTAAATGAATACTCAGTTTCAATGCATCTCTCAAGCACAATAACACTGTTACTGAATGTGCAAGTTCAAAAAAAAGTCGAACATTTTAATTTGATTTTTTAAAGTATAAAAATAAATATGAAAATGTGTTATCCATGTGAAAATATTTCTATATTTATTTTTATATCTTAATATAAATGCTTTAAAAATATAAAAATGTTTAAAAACTTTCATTATTTACTATTAAACTATATGTATTTATTTCTTTTTTACAGGGCCTACTAAATGGGCTGAGAGCTTTCCTGTCGCCAATGGACCCAGGCAGTCTCCTATTGACATCATCCCAAGCCAAGCACAGTTCGACTCCAACCTCAAGCAAATTAAGCTGAAGTATGACCCCAGCACCTCCAAGGGCATTCTCAACAATGGCCATTCATTCCAAGTGGACTTTGCTGACGACGACGACAAGTCAAGTTAGTGCATTTATCATTTGGTTACGCTGCAGGTTTGCAGATGAGATGCATTTCAGTCCAGTAGCTTCTGCGATTGCTACAGCCGTTCTCTGCTGAGACCTGAACACTCTGACTATGTATGGTTAGTCTTAGGCGTGTTAAAGATGTGGCTAAAGTGTAAATGTGGGGGCAAACCGTAATAAATGCACATTGTGGCGGATCTTTTTGTTTCTGAATGCTGTAGTGGTTCAACTCTGCTTCATTTGTCCAAGAGTGGTCAATGTAATAAGTGCTACAGCCACAAGCACACAGGACAAGTGGGGAAAAAGGTGATGATAAAGTCTATATATCGCTGCTGTTGGGACAAAACCTCGTATCTCCATGTTTTTTCATTTTTTGGCATAATTTGAAAATGCCTGTCGCCCTTTACGTTGTGTGTAAATTTCATGATGAATGAACAAAAAAAAAAGTTTGAAAAAGACTTGGAAAAAAGTCTGGTTCCATTGACTTACATTAAAAGTAAAGAAGGTTTTTTGCTTCTCCTGTAAAGTTACCACTTTGGAGATACGAGGTTTTGTTCCGACGGCAGCGACATGCTAATCAGGCGAGGCTTAGCTAGAGTTATAAAGAAAAACATCAGGAATTGACAGAATTCAAAGTAAAGGCGGTGACTGTTAAGCCCCAACTGCACCTCCTTTATCTTTGTAAGAGAGTTTTGATAACTGCTATGCGTCATTACATAATCTCATTGAAGCAGCACATAGCGGAGGTTAAGAGATATGTGGCTTATAGAAATGTATAGATATTCCTCACACTTAAAAGTGTGTGGCTAAATAAGTTTGCATTGCACCACTGGTGTGCCCCACTATGTTCTAGTACAAGATGCAAGGACATTAGATGCCTTCAAAGTTTGATAGAGCTACTTTGTGCCTATTCTTTGTGATCAAGAATGAAATGCCACATTATTTTCTTCAAATGTAGTCGTCCTGGTGTTATGTAATCCTATTTTAGTTCTCTATTTGCCTTTAAATGTTTCATATTTGACTGCACTCTGCTATTAGGCGCTGAGGCCTTTCGCTCGGAAGATTTCCCCAGTGCTAACAGGGACTGATGTACCCTCAGCTAGCCAAACAGCTTGCTTAGCGCTTCGTAAATGTGTTTTACGGAGTGCGATTTAAATATGCTCACTTTAATTTCCTTCTATTGCTTCTGAAATGAGAACAGCAATGGAGCAAGACTTTTCCCCGTGGCTTCAGCCATCAGCCTCTCAGCTATGCTTTGTGTATCCTTCAGCCCTAATGTATTCTATTATGGGTTAGAGAATGGAGTTAGCCTGGCTGGTGTTCACCCCCAGACTGTCAATTAGAGGAGCGTGTGGAGAATCTGAACGCTGTATTTTAGGTTAAAGGATAACATCTTCAGTCTATGTGAGCTCTAATGTTAAAAAAGGGCCTAATAGCAAAGGAAAGCTAACAGGAGTGAAATGATGCTAACTAGTCCCCGCTGAATGTGTTAGCCGCCTTTGTGTTTTAGCTGAAACATTTATGTCCAGAAACAGTTACTGAAGGAATTCAAAGTCTTTCTCTGTAGGAAATGTGTCAGCAGACGTCTTTATTAGTGGAATTGAAGCATTACTTTTCTGGTGGCTGACTGGTGGTGTGTAGCTTTTGTTTACAGCGGCCATTTTATTAGCAATCCTCATACCTTTAACAGAATACCTTGCTCAAAATGCTAACATGGCTAAAAATAAACAAAAGCAAGTAGGAAGCAGTTAGCAATATGGGGATTAGATTGCGCTCAGTAGTTCCCACTGGGTAAATTAGATCATACTAAATAGTTGCCACTGGGAAATTAGACCAGGAAATGAGATCCCACCAGCTTGCATAGCCAACCTAGATCAGAATATTTATCTGCAGAATTCCTTTAATACCTCATAACTGAGTAAATGGCATGGCATAAACGTTTTATGAACAGGTTTTTGGCTACAGTGTACAGGCAGCTGCAGTGGCTATAGCTAACTGGCATTTGTGTTCTTGCAGCTCTGACTGGAGGGCCCGTGACTGGAACATACAGGCTGAAGCAGTTCCACTTCCACTGGGGCGGCGCTGATGAGAGAGGGTCCGAACACACTATTGGGGGCACCAAGTTCCCCTGTGAGGTAAACACCCAACACATTTTTATATGTGTCCTTATTTTCTGGTGGTATTCACTTTAAATACAGTATCTTAATTAAGCGATGCCACAGAAGAACCGTTTTAGATTCTTTTTCAGTCTTTGTAAATGAGATTTGGGAGTGTAAAACATCTTTGCAGTACACAATGCAAAGGTTCTCTACCAATTAAAGCCTCTATGCTAATAGTATTAGATATAAAACAATACAATGACACAATGAGGGTTCCTTGGGTCACAGTATAGCAAAACAATATGTTTCAGAGGAAAAGACTCCACAAAACTAAAGGTATGGTGCCACAGTGGTTGGTAGTCTAGGTTTCATTGCCTTTTAATTCTTGCTTTTCAGAGCTGAGCAGAGCTTAAAGCTTGCATACGCTACCATTGTGCATTGTAGGCTCAAATAATATGAACCAGGCACCAAATGGTTTGAGATATTTTATTCAGAATTTCAGCTGTGGAAACAAGAAGAAGGTCTTCAATGATAAATGAACATCAATAAATAATATACCATAATTATCTATTTATAGCCATGTCTTGTCACGACATCCAGCTCTTGATTCTATCACCACTTTGCAATAATGAGAAAATTTGGATATCATCATAATATATGATCATAATTTCATTCTCAATGCTGTACAGCTTTCTCAGTCATTTTGGAATCATCTGCAAGTGAAAGCTGCAAAGCAGTAGCAACAAATAATCATTTTATATATTTTTTGGCAGCAAAATTGGTTTTAGATTATTGAAAATATTAATTTTAGGTGTTTTTTTTTATTTTTTAAGTGGAACTTTTAAGCTCTGCAAACACAACTGAACTAAAAAGTTTCCTTTATTTTGGAGTCATGCTGAAACAAATGCGGTAACACTTTCTATGAATGTCACCTTCGTAAGCATCTATAAACGCATTTATAACATGTTATAATGTATTCATAAGGCATTATAAACATGGTTATAAATATTTATAAAAAAGAATTACACTGAACTACATTTTATAGCCATGTTTATTATACATTATGAATTGTTAATATAATACATTATAAATAGTGTTAATAACATGTTATAATGTCAGTGCCAATGAAGTCAGTCCCAGCTTGGAGAGCGTAAAGTAAAGACAAATACCAAGCTAACGGTGGTGTACATTACCTTTCCCACATTGGGTAAAACACTGATGGCAGCTCTAGTTTAAACTCTGACATTTGAAGCCTGTAATGTGCTTTAATGTGAATGTTTTAGTGTTTCAGTAAATCCTTCAGTAAATACTTCAACTTGAAGCCTCACTCTGAACACTGGAGGAGGCTTTAGTACAGTATGCTTCACTTTACTTAGAGCGGACAAATATGACTTATGAGCTCTTATAATTTGTTATGATCAGTAATTATAATGTATTATGTTAACAATGCATAATGCATAATAAATATGGCTATAACGTATAATGCATTTTTCTAAATATTTATAGCTATGTTTATAATGTCTTATGAATGCATTATAACATGTTATGAATGTGTTTATAGATGCTTACAAAGGTGACATTCATAGAAAGTGTTACCACAAATTCTTCTGAATCTTACTGTAAACCAGGGCTGCACAATATGAAATCTTCATTATTACTGTTTTCATTGTGGTTATATTGCTACATATTGTGATCATGATATAGTAAAACATTTTAAGCTCAAGGCTTTACACTACATGTTGGAACACAGCTGTGAGGATTTGATTTCCTTCATCCACAAGACCTTTAGTGAGGTCAGATGGAGCTCCATCGCAGAGAATTCAGTTTCTCTGCTCCACAGCCCATAGCGGGGGGTAGGAGGAATGGTGTTTAAACCCCTTTAGCTAACTTGGCATTGGGTCTGCTGCCATTGGATGCCTGGAACAGCAGTGGGTGCACCTTAAAGTAGCTGAATTCTCTAATAAGATCTCATCTAATGCTCGGTTGGTCACTAGATTCTGAGCTGTCTTGTTTTATTTAAATGTTTTCCTTTCTCCTCAGCTCCACCTGGTGCACTGGAACACCAAGTACGCAAACTTTGGTGAGGCCGTCAGCAAGCCTGATGGTTTGGCTGTTGTTGGGGTTTTCCTGAAGGTCAGTGATTTAAGCCAAACCTGTTTCCTAGATGCCATTCACAGGATTTTATTCAGATAAATATAATATACTTTCTCTCAGATTGGTGCTGCCAATCCAAGTCTGCAGAAGGTTCTGGATGCTTTTGATGCCATCAAATCAAAGGTGATTATCTTGCTTTTTTTCCTTTGCCCAATTCATCATGAAATTTACACACAATGTCAAGAGCAACAGACATTTTCCAATAATGATAAAACCTGAAAATGACAAAACTGGAGATTTTCTTTTTGGTTCATTTGTGAACTGTGAATTGACTGACTCTCTTTTCTCACTCTCTCTGTCTCACAGGGAAAGCAAACTACATTCTCCAACTTTGATCCTATAACCCTGTTGCCTCCCACTCTGCATTTCTGGACTTATGAAGGCTCTCTGACCACGCCCCCTCTGCATGAAAGTGTCACCTGGATCGTCCTGAGGGATCCAATCAGCGTCAGCCCTGCTCAGGTACAATTCGTTATCAGCGAAAGGCTACTGTGCTCATAAAATGCTATGCTAAAACAGCTAACAGTAAAGGTATACAGAATATATTGGTGTTCCCAAACCTAAACCTTATTTTTTCTGTTTGAAAACATCAGCTACTCTTTACATTGTGTGAATATTCCATGACGAATGGACCAACAGAACGAATGTTCATGGGTTTTAGTGGGTTTTAAGAAGAAATCTCTTCTAAAGAACTGTTGGTCAATGAGACCTAATAATACTAAATATAGATAACATTAATACAGTAAGCAGTTGGTTAATGCTTTTGTATTGAAATTGTAATTTGAGCTGCAATATTGTAATGATAGGCGAAATTATCAATAATGTCTTAAGTTTAAGGTGCAGAAATTAAACTTAATAACACAGAGTTTTCAGATGACTTAGACCAATCAGAAGCAACCAAACACCCATGTTCTGTGACATCACAACCATAATAAATTGCAATTCAGTGTGTAAGCATCTTCAGGTCTGGACTAAGTTGTAGAAAATAATCAGTTTAAATGGCAGTCACAATATTAGTAAAAAAAAAAAATGCAATTATGTATTTTCCTCAAATTGCTCAACCCTGTATGAGGCCCACAATTCAGTTTACTACATAATGTACAAGTTTCATGCTAATTGTTGAATAACACTGTTGTCGGAGCAAAACCTTGTATCTCCAAAATGCTAACTTTACAGGAGACGGAAAAACTTTTTTTACTTTTAATGTAAGTCAGTGGAACCAGACGTCTTTCCAAGTCGTTTTGGGCCGTTTCCTTTGCCCAATTCATCACAAAATTTACACACAATGTCAAGGGCAACAGACATTTTCCAATAATGATAAAACCTGAAAATGACAAAACTGGAGATACAAAGTTTTGTTCCGACAGCAGCGATACTTTATAGAAATTACTGAACAATTTAGGAATTTATATTCATGTTTAAAGTTTATGATTACATTTTTTGTGATTACTAACAACAAAAATAACAAAGTTCAAATAGTTAATCATTTCCAAACATCCTGGCAGCACAGTATTATATGTAGTTATCATCCAATAGCTGGTTTAGCTAATTGAATTAAGTATACTGGTGGTGGGATGTAAAAAATCATTGCAGGGGGGCAACAATAATCAAGCTGGAATGAAATCTCTGTTTTATAAGCAACTCTAGCTACTTTTAGCTATAATACATAGCGATTGTACAGGAAAAAACAGAATTATTGTGCAGATTAATAGTTTAAAACAAATTGCTTAGGAGCATAAAACTTAATCAATGCTTAATTTAATCACAAATATTGTATATCTAAAATGGGACATTTTCAAAAGAAGGAAAAAACTTTATTACCTCTAATAAAAGTTGCTGTAAAAAATCTGAGCTATTATTATCATTATAAACTTTTCAGCCAACATAAGCTATACTACATATTGTGCATACAGACATAATGTGGGGATTATATAACACAAAACCAAGTGTGTCAGGCAGTCGAGACCTAATATATACACCCTGATAGATATGAATATATAACCACCCGTATGCTATCTCCCTGTTACATGTTTCTGTGTAAGCTGCATAAATGAAATCACTCAAATGTTTCGCTGTCTAATGTTTCAAGATTGAATGGCGCTTCTACTGCACGTGAACTATGAACTCTTTTCTGGCATGATATTAATGATAGAAAGTTAATAAGTATACAGAATAAACTTAATTATTTAAACAAGCTAATATTTACACACGCCGGACACACAGAGTGGCCTTAGTGTACAGAGTTTACGTCAAAGCTTGAAAAAAAACGGGAGGGCCCTGTTCTCTTAGCCTCCTGTATAGCGAGATTACATTATCTAAATGCTCCCTAAAGTTAACACCAGCCTGGAAACTGTTATCGTTTGTGATGATATGGTCACACCCACCCACTTCTGAGGGTTAAGGCTCTTTTTGAAGAGGATTGAAGTTGCTTTATGCTTGTGAGGGCAATGCAGAGGAACATTCATTGAGGCTTTACATCAGAGCTAGCTATTAACTAATCTGCAGTCCTCAGGCAGGTAAATGTGTGATTGGTGCAAAGTACACAATCATTGCAATACAAATACAGACACGAATACTTTTTACCTCATGTTTATTTGTTTGTTCATGTAACCAAGGAAGTGCACACCAGTCAACATCGTTATTTCATAATGGAAATGTGCCAGGTGATGTTTTAGAATGAGGCCTCAGAGTAGTACCCAACTCTAAATAGCCCTGTCCTGTCAAAATGAGGCCATTTGAATTTTGCTTACACCTGCTGTCATGAATCGTCACCAAGCAACCTGCACCAGTTGCGTTACCTGATGTTACCTAAAGTATCAGCCAGATTCATTAACCTTTAGTCTGGCTTTACACTGAAACCCTAATCTGACTTTACTTACTTAAAACTTACATGAAATGAAATTTCATTTGGATTGCAAAATGGAAAAAGGTCCTGCAACTCATTTGAAACTCAGTCGCAATAGTTTCAAGCATCTCAGCTTCATTTTTTGTGAAAGATTGTGTGATAATGTTGAATGATATAACTACAAGCAATTGATTTCACTGGATTGCAATGCAAGGTTGGTAAATTCTCATTTTGTCAGTTACCGAAGCCAGAACAACAAACAATACAGGTTTCTCAAAGCTAACATTTACAACTGTAACAGCCGTTTAAATGGCTACTTGTCCACTGTTTATTCTCCGTTAGCCTGCTATTACTTTGATCTCTGGTGCTAAATTGTTATTTTTTTCCTCTCTTGATGCCAAATCATTTTTACACTGAGCTCAGATTTCTCTGGAAGTCAAAAGATGAAGGTGATACAGGTTTAGAACAAATACAGATTTAGATAAAAGCGCAATGGAAAACTGCAAAGGCGATAAAAATGTTATGCATTTGCAAATGTAAATAACACATTGCGAATGACTTTAGAAAGCGAAGATGATACAATGTATCAAGATTATGAGCTGCTAACTTGGCTAGCTAGTGAAGTGATGGAATGTGTTGCATGCAACTGTGATTTTATGAGTTGCTTCATGAAACCTGTTAGTTGCATGAAACCCACAACATGCAACAAGTAGCACGAAGGTCTCATGTGTAAAACCAGCCTAAACCAATTCAAAAACAAAGCAACACATTCAGTTACTCCACTATTTAGTCAAATTAACATCTTATATTTTTTTTTAAATATTGTCATTCTTGCTACATGACATCATCTGCAACATCACATTTCCGTTTGCCTTTGTAGAATTTTTCAAGCTTTTTTTTTATCTGTCTATCTATTCATCTACCTACCCATGTCCTTTTTGTCAGTTCTGTCAATGTTAAACTTTTAATGATCTCTGTTTAAGAAGGCATTGCAGTTGCCTTGCAGAAGATTCCTTTAACAGAAGCACTGCAGGCTCTATAATAATGTCCATCTTTTGGATCTCAAAGCAATCTCCACTCTGTGGACAAGTAGGGGACATCATAATAACAGCAGACTAACAAATAAGAATAAATAGTGGCACAAACAGCTGCTGGAAAAACTGTTTAGCTGGCTAATTAGCTGGTTTTTCAACGCAACCTGCGTTTTGATTGGATTTGATTTTTCATGAAACTTGTTTCACAAAGTTGAGGCACTTGTAACTGTTGCGGCTGAGTTTCAAATGAGTTGCGGGTTGATTTACCTTATGCAACTCAAGTGCAATTTAGTTTCATGTGAGTTTCAAGCAACTGAATTTGCATGACAGTTTCACCAGCCTAAAGCCAGCTTTAGAAACCTAAAATGAATATTGTCACTTTGTTACACAGTTTGAATGTATTTACGTAACTAATAGCAAATTAACTGATGAATTTATTTCAGAATATCATTATTATTCTGAATTGACAGGTTGTGATCTCATCCTGACTGCTATGGATGAAAGAGAGTCTTGTGCCATGCTAGTCTCAGTCTTGATTTTTGGAGTGATGTAGTATCTAAACATTGTCAAGGTTTCAAAATACACCATTCACTCCTTAGTCAATACAGTTCAAACAGCCTATTTTGAACCTGTGATGTCACAAAATTGAACAAATTTACATATACCTGCCTATTGAAATAACACTGCCTATTCGTGCTAAAGCTATGAGGAGTGTTTCAGCTTGGACTGCCTTTTGAAATCAGTACAGAAAATCAGAATAGACGTCATTTATATACAAACAATCTGAATTGCACAGCAACCAAAACAGTCTGTTTCATTTTAGGGAAAAAAGTGAGGCTTGAAAGCGGTTGGTTGAAAAAGGACACAGGCCCGTTAATTCTAATTCCGAGAGTTTTGCAGTAATGACTAAACTTTCTCTACGTTTTACACTGATGCAGCAAAAGGAATTCAGTAGGTGTTTGGTTTGGGACAGAGGAAGTGAGCTTGGTTCACTGTAGGTGTAGTTTTCACACCTTTGCTAGATAAAATCATCACTTTGATGTGTCACAAATAATGAAATTAATAACCTTCCTTTTACTGCAGGAAATGCTAAGGAATACTCAACGTAATCTCTACCTGCTGCATCTGTATCACACATAGGCAGCAACTGTGACACCTTTCTCTGCAAAGAGAAATAACACATGTATAATAGAAGCCAAAGGTCAGGTGCTTTAACTTCAGCTATCCACGGCTTCAGCATCTGCCCACTTCTATTATACACGTTTGGAATCAGCATTTTTTTCTGAGTATATGAAAATTATTGTTCGTCATAGTTCGCCGTATACTTCAGCCATGGCAAATGAACCTTAGGTTGAAAATGCTGGAGTATTCCTTTAGGTAGAGTCAATTTGCATGCATGTCTTTTTGAGTCATGCTGTTGCCAGTTTTTAACCATTTACCAAGCATGTTATTCCAGTCCTTTGTAACTGGCTGCACAGTAATGCAACACTCTATTCATAAAATGCACTAAAAATGGACACTGAGGTAAGTATAGGGTTCAGTTAGCCTCTACAGCTCCTCCAAACAAAAGTATTCAAATAGAAACAAATTAACTCCCTCCCTCCCTCTCTCTCCCTCCCTCCCTCCCTCTCCCTCTCTCTCCCTCCCTCCCTCTCTCTCCCTCCCTCTCTCTCTCTCTCTAGATGGCTAAATTCCGTAGTTTGTTGTTCAGCGCGGACGGGGAGAGCCCTCGCTGCATGGTGGATAACTACAGACCCCCGCAGCCCCTCAAGGGACGCAAAGTCCGTTCCTCCTTCAGATAAACTCCAGTTCCGTGCCTTACCACCCCCCCACCCTTCCCTCCTGTCCTCCAATTATGGTGGCTCCTCTTTTCTGACGACATTCAAAAGCACTCCCAGTGAAATTCTCCCAGCGGAAAAATGAAATGTAACTAAATTATAAAAGTATGATATAATTTTTTTTTTAATTTATTTAGTTTTCATCGCGTATTCTTATATTTTTGCTTTGTTTTTATTTTATTTTTGTTTTGTGTCTATTTTATTTTATGCACTTCTGCTTTGTTCATTTTGTTTTATTTTACAGCTCAATGAAATAATCTGGATAAGCAGCACTTCTCAAGTGTTGCTCTGTGTCATTTTGCCAGAATGTGCCTGTATGTAAATCCCATTAGCTTTAGAAAAAGTAAAGACAGCATCACGATCGTTGCATATAAACCGCAATGCATCATGTCTTGTTCTGATTATTGTTCGAAGAGTGCATAATGGAGGACCATCTAATACCCCCCCCCCAAACAAAACCATTCCATTATATTAATTATCCTTTGTGTGCTTTTACTGGAAAATCATTGCCCCACTTTAGCTATGCAGACCTACAGTGTGCTATGAAAAAAAAGCATATATTACATAGGATTATATAGGATGTCACATTCTACCCCGTAGAAATCATGGTTATTATGTGTGTAGCATTAACATGTTGTGTGAAATGGTGCCAGTTACATACAGAGAGGTCAGTCTATGGCCAGTAAACCCAATAAGTGCCAGTATATATCTCATTTAAGGAGCAGCACTAGCCAGAGAAATTATAAAGGGATGCTATGAAATAATGCTTGACTACAAAATCCTACACTCATGATGTCATGATATTTGGTTTTGAAATGACATATGAAGAAATATGGATAAATGACATTTAAGATAATGTTTGTCATTTAATCTGAAGACTTTTATGAACAATAAATAAATATATTTTAAGAGATTAAATGTGACTCATTTTGTTTGTCCAAAAAGATTATGCTGGGTATGGTACTGCTGGCGAAAGTTTTGAAATGTAGCATTTGCTACCCAGTCCAAATTATCCATCCCAGGCCTGCAGTTTTGGCATGTTGTCTAACGTTCTACAGTGCAGCCTTGCATCCCTCGGTTTGACAGAATTTGATAACATTCGCATGTTTTTCTTCATCAATGATCTCATCATGCATTACATAAGTATAAAACCATTGGGGATCCCTGTGGTGTCAACCAATCCTCACTGCTAGCCTAGCTACTGATCTATAGGCTAATACAAGCAAGCTAATATTAGGCCCAGTCCCATTTCTTATTTTTACCCCTACCCCTTGTTTTCGAGTGTCACTTTGCCACTTGCAACTGAGTTACAAGGGGTAGAGGTTGAAATCCTCCCTATGAAATGGGACCCTCAAATAAAAAGAACATCACTTCATTAACAGCTACCAGCGCTGCTCTGTAGGCGACCCTGCCAGTCTGCAGTGACAGCAGAGGAGGGTAAAGTTCAGCTCCTCACTGCTGGGCTTTAGTTACATTTACAATTATTTATTATCACCCACCCCTAATTCTTCAGTGATATCGAGCTGAAGTCAGATATTCACCAGCTTCTTGTTTGAATTTTCCTGTTCCACCTTAAATGCAGCAGCAATTACATTCTGGCGCTTCAGGCGTCAGAACTGCTGGACTATTTACGGTGGAATGGATTATTTTGCTAACTAGCTACAGAGACAGTAGCATACTATTAAAATACCATTATTTTTTATGCTTGTTATGAAGAAAAGAATCATAACACATTCAAATGACATTAAACTGAGATTATACAATGGTTATTGTATGTTTTTAACTGAGAAAATTCTTTGGTCGCTTGTGTAGTCATCTTTCTCATATCACTCTGTTTGGAGCCTCTGAAAAACCTCTGTTTTGAGGGTCATGTAGCCCTAACACTTCACCCTACCCCTCAAAAAATAAATCGGGACACCCTACCCCTAGGTGTGAACATGCAGGGCTAAGGGTCAGGTAGCAGGGGTGATGGGTGAAATGGGATTGGGCCTTAGTGTACCTTTTACCTTGGAGTGCAGAATGTTGTTACAGCAGACAGTAGAGTTATTAGGGTGGAAGATGTGGGATGATATGTCTTTTAGTCGGTTTTCAACATCATTTTTGCATAGGTTTTCTGTAGTGTTCCTATATTTAAAGCAAATCTGTGAATAGTTCACAGATAATAATTCCGAATGCAATATTTGAAGCCATATCATGAGTTCGAAATGGCCTGACTAAAAATTCCATAAAAATTTGTAGGAATTTCTGACCTTATATTTTCCCAAAAGGTACTAATCATATTTCCTGCAGACTTTTTCCAGAACAAGAACAATTATGTCTAATTAACATATAAAACATAGATGTTCTCTGACTCTTTAATGGTTTATTTATTTTTGAATTTTTATTATTATTATTATTATTATTATAACTTTTTTAATGAGGTAGAAACAAAGATAGATAAAACTGTAAACAGAAAAAAAATGAATTTACAAATTAACATTTATAATGCTTCAGAAAGTCTGTGTTCTTTTTGAAAAAGAGATCAATTCTTGTACCTAAAACCTTAATTCTGCAAAGGTTATTTAAAAAAAAGTGCATGAAAGATTACATTTTAAAGATCTTAAAGGCGTCTATTAGCATATATATATATATATATATATATATAATATATATACAGCGGGTGAAATAAGTATTGAACACGTCGTAAATATATTTCTAAATGTGCTATTGACATGAAATTCTCACCAGATAACAACCCATCCAATCCACACATGCAAAGAAATCAAACCATAGATGTCATAAATTATGTGTAATAATGAGAAATGATTTAGGGAAAAAGTATTGAACACATGAAGAAAGAGAGGTGCAAAAAGCCATGGAAAGTCATAACACCAGCTGAAATCTATCAGTAATTACAAAGCAATCCTGACACTTAGTGCAAATTAATATCAGCTGGTTCAACTGATGGCCTATAAAAAGGTGTCTCATTACCAAGGTGCCACACAAGAAACATCTCATGATGGGTAAAACCAGTGAGCTCTCACAAGACTATCCCAACATTATTGTTGCAAAACATACTGATGGCATTGGTTACAGAAGACAACCAGGTGCTCCCCGCAGGATTTCAGACAGAGGAGTGAAAATAATTATCAGAAGAGTTGTCCAAGAGCCAAGGACCACTTGTGGAGAGCAAAAGAAAGACCTGGAATCAGCAGGTACAATTGTTTCAAAGAAAACAATAAGTAATGCATTCAAACACCATGGCCTGTATGCACGCTCACCATGCAGGACTCCATTGCTGAAGAAAAAGCAGGTTGAAGCGCGTTTAAAGTTTGCTCAACAACATTTAGACAAGCCTGTGAAATACTGGGAGAATATGGTCTGGGCAGATGAGACCAAAACTCTTTGGATGCCATAATACACAACATGTTTGGAGGTCAAAAGGCACTGCATCTCACCCCAGAAACACCATACCAACAGTGAAGTTTGGAGGTGGGAACATCATGGTGTGGGGCTGTTTTTCAGCATACAGCACTGGCACACTTCATATAATTGAAGGAAGATGAATGGACAAATGAACCGAGACATTCTTGATAAAAATCTGCTGCCATCTACCAGGATGATGAAGATGAAACGAGGGTGGGCATTTCAGCAAGACAATGATCCCAAACACACAGCCAAGGAAACTCTCAATTGGTTTCAGAGAAAGAAAATGAAGCTGCTAGAATGGCCCAGCCAATCGCCTGACCTGAATCCAATTGAAAATCTATGGAAGGAACTAAAGCTCAGAGTTCATAGAAGGAGCCCGTGGAATCTTGAGGAATCTTGAAGAGTATTTGTGTGGAAGAATGGGCCAAAATCACACCTGAGCAATGCATGCGACTGGTTTCTCCATACAGGAGGCGTCTTGAAGCTGTGATCACCAACAAAGGCTTCTGTATGAAGTATTAAATAAATTTCAGTAAGTGTGTTCAATACTTTTTCCCTGTGTCATTTCTCATTATTACACATAACTTAATTTATGGATATCTATGGTTTGATTTCTTTGCATGTGTGGATTGGATGGGTTGTTACTGACACCTGGTGAGAATTTCATTTCAACAGCACCTTTAGAAACATATTTACTTAGAAAATTGGTGACGTGTTCAATACTTATTTCACCCGCTGTATATATACACCGATCAGGCATAACATTATGACCACCTCCTTGTTTCTACGCTCATTGTCCATTTTATAAGCTCCACTTACTATATAGGTGCACTTTGTAGTTCTACAGTTACAGACTGTAGTCCATCTGTTTCTCTGCATACTTTGTTAGCCCCCTTTTACCCTGTTCTTCCGTGGTCAGGACCCCCATGGACCCTCACAGAGCAGGTACTATTTGGGTGGTGGATCATTCTCAGCACTGCAGTAACACTGACGTGGTGGTGGTGTGTTAGTGTGTGTTGTGCAGGTACAAGTGGATCAGACTGCTGCTGGAGTTTTTAAACACTGTGTCCACCCACTGTCCACTCTATTAGACACTCCTACTTTGTCAGTCCACCTTGTAGATGTAAAGTCAGAGATGATAGCTCATCTGCTGCTGCACAGTTTGTGCCGGTCATCCTCTAGTCCTTCATCAGTGGTCGCAGGACGCTGCCCACAGGATGCTGTTGGCTGGATATTTTTGGTTGGTGGACTATTCTCAGTCCAGCAGTGACACTGAGTGAATTATGACTGTTTTTGGTATATTAAACCACTAAAATGCTATAAGTGGCCTGTGTTGAGAAGAAAAATAAAATACAAAAAAGCAGAATATAAGCCTTTTACACTTTTACAACGTGATAATTTGCATAATTTAAATATGTACATCATTTTTAACATAAAATACATCAAATCAACACATTTTATGTGTCAGTTTACTCACTTTTGGCAACAATTATGTTCATATAGTATATTTTATTTATGTGGAAATAACGTACACACTGTGCATTCAATGCATCATATTTTTCCGTGTAAGAATGCAGCTCTAAATATCGTCAGATGCTTCCAATCTTCTTTCTAATTGTTGAGTTTCTGCTATTAATGACCCGACAGGTTTCCAGTCTGTGGTTTCTCTGTGTGCAAACACTGAGTAACAGATACAGACTGCAGAGACTAAACACAGCAGCCTCCCAGACATTCAGGTATTAATTACATTCAAGACTGTCTGGCATTTCGTCATATGACCCTGCAATGGGACACGTAATATACACTTTGACATGTGTCTTCTGGTATTCCCACCTTATTTCCCCAAATTTGAACTCATTTTAACCATTCATTAGAGATCTCTCACTCATTCAGAGAACAGTCTCCCAAGTCACATCACAATTATCACTTATTAGCCTACACATGTGTTCCTTTAATGACTGGATGAGGAAATATATCCCTGAGGAGTCTGTGTTTCAAAACAACTTTGAGTTGAAAATGAGAATTCTAATTGATTCTTGGTTAAAGTGACCTAGAAGAACACAAAGAACCTTTCAACGGGTGGTCCTGAGGTGCTTATCGTGGAAAATAATTCATTTTCCTGTACTCTTCTGTGATAACAAAGACTAAAAAAATATATATTTCTCACTCATAGCTCATTGAGAAATTCTGTGGAAAGTATCTACAAACAAAGATCGGAATTGTCCAGGCTGTGCTTATCTTTGTGGTTCTTTATGGATGTGAAAGCTGGACAATAAAAAGCTGGACAGGTAAAACATTGATGCACTTGAAATTTGGTGTTATTAAGGCTTTTGAAGGTACATTGGATGGCAAAGCCATGCTGGTGACCAGCAGTATGACTATCTGATGACCAGTATGACCAGCTAAACCAGCACCAGGCCAACAAAAACCAACTTAGAGCAGCATGGTTGTTGGTTTGGCTCGTGCTGTTTTTTTTTCCTTTTATTTTCCTACAGGGAACACTGGAAATG